TCAACTCAGTTCAGTGGAACCAGTTAACATAACACGGTTAAGTAAATCCAACATTTCATTTTTTACAGTGAAATCTCCAGAAATCAATTTAAAGGGTAATAAAACAATTGCTGATGTATTATTTTCCCTATAATTATTACAAAAAAAACACAAAATAACTATAGGCCTAAATAAGTATTTATATTTGTATACAAGCTGTTTAGATTGTCAAAAATCCTGTGTTTTTAGGGTTATAAAACAAAGTTTGTGTACTCAGACCAGTAATATTTGGGGTCACAAGTTTTTGCCATGGATATTTTGTGGGTCAGAAGATAAAAAGGTTTGGGAACCAGTGCTGTAGAACCTGCTCGCTGTAAAAAGTTTGCAGACCTCTGGGTGTAATAAGCTGTCAGAGTATGAAACAGGCTGTGGTGCAGCAGGATTTTCAGYCCATTTGTTCCGCTGAGTCCAGGCTGCTGATTAGTTAATTGGCTGGATTTAGAGGCTGCCGTCCAACCTTAAGCACCACTGATCCATCCGCCCTCCTCTGCACTACAAAGTCCCCCTCCACTCATTACAAAGCACAAGAAGAAAGACTTTCCCTGCCCTCTCTGTTGTGCATCACAGAGGAGGAGGGGGGGCAGGACTCTGGCCACTTGGCTTCTCCAATCTGGCGCAGATTTGTGCTAAAAGCTGCCGTTTGCACGCGCTGCAGACGAGATGCTGACATTTCAGCGCCATCGCTTTAATTACGGTTGCCATAGCAGCGCACTGCGCGCAAAGCCCCCCCCCTATAATAAAGGCGTTTTTATTACAAACATCCCGAAGTCTTTCCAGTTTCCCTGCCCTGTGCTCGAGGAGCTCCAAGTTCCGATCAGAAGAAAAGACCCTCCAGAACCACTCACATGAAGGCGAAGCCAGGAAAAAAATAAATAAAATAAAAAAAAGCCGAGCTTCTTACCGAAACTTTGCTCCCTTTTCTGCATTTGTTGAGCCGCTGGAGCACCCGAAGACCGTGCAACCCGGAGCGGACAGCAGCTGTGCGCGCGGAGAGCAAGGCTTTGTTAGAGCCGGGGAGCGATCCGGACCGGAGACCGTGGAGGAGAGAGCTGCTGCAGGGCGTCCGCCGCCGTGGAGCCTCACGTGGGGCTGAGAGCCGCGCGATCAGCGCCTGAACACGGAGCCCGGGTGGACGTGACAAAGACTGGCTTCCCCCACCTCCCCTGAGGCTCCGAGCATCTCATCCGAGCCGCAGCCTGATCACAGCGGCTGCTGCTCCGCCTCCACACACACACACACACACACACACACACACACACACACACACACACACACACTCTCATTTACAGACACTCATCAGCACAGAGGCTGATAAATATTCAGGGAATAAAAACCTGCAGGAAAAAGTTCAGGTTCTGGGTCGGATTAAAGGCCAACCATCCCTGTGAGGAGTGCATGTTGCCCGGTGTGTTTCATGCAGACTTTCAGGTTGTTTTCACCTGATGGTCTGCTATGGATCAGGTTGGATTAGTTTGCTTTGTCCAACAAACCAAAGCCTGTGAACAAGCTGTTCCCCCCCTGACCTGTGGGGGCGCTGCACCAAGAACCACTGAAAGAAAGAAACTAACTAACTAACTAACTAACTAACTAACTAACTAACTAACTAACTAACTAACTAACTAACTAACTAACT